AAGCGATATACTAAGACTCTGTCAACGAACGCAACTACTTCGAAGACGGCATCCCGCCAGTTAGTCGCTTCGTCTGCACGCGCCACTTCTGGAAAGGTACTGGCGACAGTTTTGCTGGATAAAAATAGTGTGTGCGCCAAGTCGCTATGGGCATCGCCGTCGGCTTTTGTCCAAGACATGATTCGAGCGCTCAATAATCGTGTGGGGGGGGGCCCTGGCCTGGAGTCGCTTACTGCTAGCCCGGGCCTAGCCGAGACCCACGGGGGAACCGGACTCTCGCTGGGAGGAGCGCCTAGGCGCGTCGCGTCCGGGGTGAGGAACCCCAAAGAGCGCGCTGGTCCAGCGCTCTCGCTGCCTCGTGGCCGTCTGACGCCGGGTAAGCCTCCGGACCTGCCGCGTCCCCCCGCTCGGTCGACCGAACGGGGTTTCGCGGCCAGGGCAGCAGGCGGGGCTGCTGACCCCAGTCCGGCGGGGAGCCCAACGCCCGGAGCCTCTCGGGACGTCGCGCACTCTGCCCAGACCCGAAGGCCAACCTCAGGGCAGGCGACGTGAGCTTGCGCGTCGTGGAGTGACGACGCGCGTAGATTTGCGGAAACTCTTTTTCGAGAAACCGCGCGGAAAAGACCTCTCACGAGGGAAAACGCAGAGGAGAGCCTCCTCGGGGCGTGTACCGTTGAGCCAGGCGAGGCATCGCTTGCGCGTCCGCTGGCCGCGCGCATGCGCACTGCATCGCCATGCAGTGCGCGCATGCGCAGCACTCGACCAGAGGCGAGCTCGCCACAAAGTCGCAATCGCCAGCCTCGAGCCCTAAGACTAATAAGAGCCCATATTGCAGCATCCCAGTGCGTCTCGGCTAGATCCGAGGAGGAGCGCGGGGGCGACGAGTAATTGTTGCCCCCCCTCGCACCGACATGGGTCTGGGTCTCGGCGCTGAGAGCCTCAGGCCGCCCCCCCCTTTTTCGCGGCTTGCGCGGCCCGGCGGCGGCGGCGGCGGCGGAGGCTTACCTTGCTCTTGCCCTTGTCCTCGAGGGCCGCGAGGGCAGATTTGGCCGCCTCAGTATCAGAACGCGCGTACCAGCGTTTTGCCTCGTCGATATCCAGGTCCACGCCGCCTAGTCCCCCCTCGTAGTAGGTGCCGACGGCAAATACGGCCAGCGCAAAGCCCTGGTCCGCGCTCAGCTTGAATTGGCGAAATGCGCCCACGTGATCGTTTTCGTCGTGCAACTGAGTTGCCCAAGTATACTGGTGCTCCGCCTCCTTCATGGTGTCGATTGCTTTTTCAAAGCCCTTTGCCGCCGCGCGCACGATCCAGCGCGTAGATTCTTGCAAGCATTTCTCAG